TTCTATTGAATACATAAAAATACATTTTTCTAGGCAGCAGGCAAAGAGGAAAAGGTACTCATACAGTAAGGGACAGAGGGGGAAGACTAGCAGAGCTTTAGATTCACTCGAGCTCACTGTGACCCTGTGAGTAGATCTAAGTTTAACACACGCCCAGAGGATGCAAAGCTCAAGTCAGGAACAATAACTCACTTCATGTGAAAGTCCAGTGAACAGATTTCTTTTGACAGCTCCTGTTTCATGCTCCCAGTGAGCTTACCAGCTTCCTGCACAGGCACACGAGCCTGACCTCTCCCATTCACCCACAAGTGGGCCACATATAAAATGGCCATTAATTCCAGCTAGCACATGGGTTCAGCTGAGGCCCTTCCTTCCTGTCAGCAACAGTAAAAAAGAGCTGGGGGGATGTACGAAGAGATGAGATAGAAACAAACAGCAATCCACAAACTTCAGTTAAGAGGTGCAACCCAGACAGCTCACAAGTGATCATCTACAGTCACACCAACATTTAGATAAATACTTAATGTTGATTAAGATCAGGAAGAGGAAGCATATTCTCCTCAAGAGGCATGAACCACAGTTAAGCAGCAGCTCACTCTTGATCTGCTGAGATTTTAAGAAATGAAGCATTCCAAAAGCTGTGCTGGGGAAGTACTAGATTTTTTTTTTTTTTTTTTTTTTTTTTACAGCTTCTGAGTTTACAGGAGTAAGTTTACAGGATTAAGTTTACAGGATTAGCTGCTTTAACCTAGGCTAAGCATGAAGACAAGAGACTTGTCTCCATGTACAGACTGCAGGACTTCAGCAGTTAGAAAAACATATACAAGACACTAACCTAGAAGTTCTTTTAAAAAGGAAACAGTTGACATAACTGTGTAAGGTTATAGCTACCACAGACAAAGCCTTAGGATCCAGAGAGATTGCTCAGTCACACGAGATGGATTGAAGGCAGAACAGGATATTTGTGTACATGTAGATTTATAACTGAAAAGAGCCAGCTGTCAGTAGAAACTGCAATATAAAAGAGGAAACATTTTCAGCAAAGATCTGCAATATTGTCAACACTACCTACCTACATGAAACAAGTACCCAGGCTCTTTAACACAGACCTCTCCAGTAGCTATGCAGAAGTAATGCCTTTTAAAATAGTTCAAATTCAAATGCTCAGGACCTATAGGATACACAAAGCCAGCACGTGCTGATTCTGTGGGGTGTTTGGGGGTTGTGCATTGTTGTGGGTTTGTGGGTTTTGTGTTGTTTTTGTTTCAGGGTTTGTTTTTTGCTTTGGTTTTTTTTGTTTGGCTGGTTGTTTCATTGGTTGGATGTTTTTTTTTTTTGTGTTGCTGGGGTTTTGTTTGGGTTTTTTTATCTTTTCTTTTTTAAAAAAAAGCACAGCCCAGATTACTAATCTAAGTTATAGTGCAGTTGTACAACACTGCAGTAGGAAAAATACATGCCTTCTCCAAAGCCAGTATGAAAGTGGAGACAACTTTCCTGGTGGAAGTTCTCATCTGTTCAGATATGCAGCACTTGATATCATGACAGAACTGCCCAATAACAGTTAATTGATCTGAAGAGCTAAGAAAAGACTTTAAATTAAACTTGTGCATTCCCTCTGAATACACAAGAAGTAAGCCCATGCAATATAATCTGATGAGTTAGGAACTTCAGTATTTGCATTCTCAGATCCAAAATCTGGATTATTTTTCAAGTTATTGATATTCCATACACTGCCCTCCTCTCTTCCAAGTGTTACGATTTACACAAGCCTGGAGAGTATTTAAGCTGGAGTCACTTTGTGTAACTATAAAAAGGTTATCTATTGACGTAGAAAACTTTGTTTCCTTAGCCTCAATAGCTAGAATTGGTGTCACAACTGTAGGGGAACCAGTTCAAACCAAGAACAGACAGAGCTCAAACCCACCTTAAAATCAGATGATCAGAATTTAGGTGTGAGGATTAAAAGATGCCTTTAAGATGAACAAGCAGGCATTTAGAAGGAGACAAACTTTTTTTTTTTGACAAGACAGACAGAGGACACGCAGGTAGTCAGCAGTCAGTATCAGAAGACTGAAGAATGGCAACGAAAGGAAATCAAGCAGGAAAGACTTCATTTGAAAGCACAGAATAAAATCAAAACATTATTTAATAGTAGGCAGGAAAACAGTAACAGTACTCAGGAAAGGGGATATAGGTATTGAGCCGTGTGGCTGCAAATGTATTGAGCACAAAATAGACTCAAGAATATTTAAGTTTCTATAACTAGTTTTCACATGGTTCCAGTGGTGTTTGTTTCTGCCATGCTCCCCAGATTCCAACAACTCCATTATATGTGCAGTCTCTTAAGTTTCACATGAAAATCTTAGGCGTTAGGGAAGAGATAAGAAAAAGCCAAGTCAGATGACAGCACAAGCACAGAGTGCTTTCTTCAGAGAGTACATCAAAGCCGTATACCAACACTACTCCTCAATGTCAAGTTTTTTTGTGGCAAAATATCCATCTCTAAAATGTTTATTTAGGCTGACTAGTTACAATAGATAGGGAGCTATCTGTTGTGAGCTTTTTATGCACTAAAGTTATTCTGAAAAACTAAGAATAACTCAAAATGAGGTTTTGCACAAGTGAGTTATTTTTTAACAAAAGAGACTCCAAAATTGATGGTCCAGGTGTAAAAAAATCCTCAAAAGAAAGGCACATCTGTTTATTAATGTAAAGGTTAATTAGAAGACAAATCTATCAAAACTGCCACAAATACTTAAGGGTGTCCTGTTAAAGCATTATTGAATGAAGGAAAAAAACCCACTTGTATTCCAAGCAGATTGTATTCAAAATTTTTAAATAAAATAAAAGAAAAAAAAATCAAGACAGTGATTTTAAGTAAACATGGTATATTCTACACATCTGTAGATCAACGCAACTTTACATTAGCCATTTTTAACTTCAAGAAGTTCTGTTGCAGCATTTTCTACAATATGTTGGTTTCCATTATATAATCAACAAAATAGCCCAAAGAAACTATTTGCTTAAGTAAAGCTTTATTTTGTGACCAAAGATGGCTCTATTAATACAAAAGTACTTGTTTAACAATTATCCCCACCTAGTATTTTTTTGAAATTAAGTCTGTTCAGCCTTGTTTGGTTCTGTTTCATTGCCTGCACAGAAATCAGCATAAAGCTAGGTTGCAAGCTAAGCTTCACTTTAGCAGTGCAATGAATGGTATCAAGCTTCATGAAACAAAGATACAAACATTGTCAGGAAAATTCAACTACATGAAAAACAATGTTTTTGTGGTTCACAACTAGACTAGTTTTCAGAGTGCAGCCTTCCTCAGGAAAAGTGCTTCCTCCTGATTCACATGAAAAGAATGAAGCATGCAACAAAAGCCTTTGTTCATAAAGAAATGCCAGTTAAAATAGTTCCATGGTACCATAAGGCAAAAGAGCTGTTAAGGTAGATTAAGCGTTTTGGCCCAGAGTGTGTTTTATGACACATACATACATATTACACTCGTGTAGCATATGACAGGTAAGGGATTGGCTCAGTAAGGTAAAAATGTCCATTTTTATAAATACAAGCCATTATTGCTAATACGCTACACGTTATCATCCAGCTTTTAAAGCTGCTTTGTTGGCATTAGCCTTGTAATTAGCAGCTCACACTCATGGTGACAATATGCTATTCCATATGAAGAAAAGTAAAGCGGCATAAATACAAATATAAAAACAAAAGGCTTATGCAACTTTTCTCTCCAACTTTGCTATGTTTAATTAAAACGTGTTCAAAGAAAACAAGTCCAGTTCACCACAAATCAGGAAGTCTCACAATGAGGTTGGGAACAAAGCTACAGGGAGCAGAGGCGGGGGGGAAAACACATGGCATGCGTTATAATGTAGTCCTTTTAGTCATACCACTGGAATACGAAAGTCCAATTTGAAGGCTACACTAATGGTAGAAGGCAAAAAGCCAAGAGTAGACTTAGTCTTATATTTAAATTGAAATTACAATTTTAGTCAGTAACAGCAAACCTACCTGGCCCTTTAATATATTCACAATATCTACTGCAATTGAATACTTAATTATGACTAGTATAGGTATGTATGTTCAATTTTAAAAAGACATTAAATACCTGCATCATCAAGTTACATTCTTAAGACATTGTGTAAGAAAATAGCTCATGTGAAATGTTTCTGAAATGTATTTCTGCTCCCTTCTACCCCCTACTATGTCACACACACACAGACACCCATCCATCAATGCATTCACTCACAGGGAAAAACAAACACCCCTTAAAAAAAAGATGGATATATTGAAAGGGACCAGCTTGGCTAGTTACAGCACAGTGCTTAACAAGGTTCGAGACAGAACCAGATCAGAGTTGGCCAAAAGATCCCCACAATACATGCCAGACCAGCAGTTCCTTCCAACTCACTCTGTCAAACTCAGTCCACTTTTGGTTCACTGCAAAGACTGAAGTATTTCATATATACATATAAACACTAGGCTCCAACTTTAGTTTGTTTTTGCAAAGCATTTTTACCTTTCCGTTCATTTTGTTCTGCAGCAGCTACAAGAGGTAGGCATAAAGCATTTAAGAGCTTCTTTCCCAAGGTCCTGCTACTAGCTCAATTTAGTGGAATAAACCAGAAATCAGCTGTCCTGCTGATTTTGCTAGATACAGACTTGTACAATCCAGCTGGAAAACAGCACTATGAACCCTGGATTGGTTAAGCTAGCAGACCATGGAGTAAGAAGCTGTTCACATCCCGGACGATACTTTTTTTTTTTTTAATAAGAGTTTACTGCAGAGCATTCTTATAGAAAGTGTATGTCAGGACCAACTCTCTCCATTTCTATTTGTACACAGGAGCAAGGTATCGTTTGGCCAAGACTGCAGCTGTATTTTCACAGATGCAAGTGCCATGCAAAAATAAATTAAAGAACAGATACGAAAACATACAAGTAATAAAACTACTTAAGGTAGATTTTCTTTAAAGTATTTATATAAACAATTTATAATACTTCTCTTCCCCCCTCCTCTTTATGACATTCACAATTAAAGTTGTGGCTATACATCAAGAATTTCTTCCGCAGTGCCTCCACAACGCAACCTGTAGCGTCCTGTCCTCCAGCTAATAGTGGGGTCCCACAAAGCAGACAAGAAAATATATATCGTCATGGATTCTCTGATGAACCAAGCTACTGCATAATCAAGTTTTGAGAAACACAGGGCACCACCCTAGGAACATAAAAAACAAGTATTTAAGCACAATGACTATCCAAAAGAAACTAATTTAAAGTTATTTGAAACAACTGTGTTACAGATAAAACTATTCTAAAGCTTATTATACAGACATATATCAATTGCACAGGTTTTTTTTTTCGTATTTTCCTGTTCAAGATATGATTACATGAGGCACTTGGCAGAATGACCCAGAAGGTTTGAAAAGAGACTTGCATGTAGAGCAAAATGCAAGGGAGAAGTGTGACAATTTCACTTTTTTCTTCTACAAGTTTTGTAAAACTGTGTTCAAGCTGACACTGGATTTTGGCCACAGATGCCAGAAGAACAGCACCTAGGCAGAACACACACAAGGTATAACTTCCTTTATTGCCATTATGTGTAATGACCAACAAAACAATATTTTTTGAGTCTGATGGAACATTTGATAGGTTTAAATTGGCATGTAATTATGGATCAGATTTGTATGGAATCCAGGCACAGCAGCAAAGTAGCATAAATAATTCCTGTGGCATTAGAAGCGCAAATTCTGTTCTGATTTTAAAAAGTTTTGAGACCTCACTTGTAGTGAAGGGAAGATTGTTTTTACAAGTAAGCTACAGCTATCCTGTAAGGCCACTTTTACCAAAATAGAGTGAAAAATGTGCTTAGGAGTACATATACACCTCAATAAATCAAAAAAACATGTAACAGCTTGGGTTGGAAGGGACCTTTCAAGCTCATCCAGTCCAACCCCCCAGAGTGAGCAGGGACATCTTCAAGCCAATCAGGTTGCTCAGTGCCCTGTCCAACGTGACCTTGAATTTTTACAGCAGTGGGGCATCTAACACCTCTCTGGGCAACCTGTGCCAGTGTTTCACCACACTCATTGTAAAAGATCTCTTCCTTTAGCTAGTCTAAGTCCACCCTCTTTCAGTTTAAAACCATCACCCCTTGTCCTATTATAACAGGCCCTGCTAAAATGTTTGTCTTTCTTTTAGGCCCACTTCAAGTACTGAAAGGCTGCAATAAGGTCTCTCTTCTCCAGGCTGAAGAACCCAAACCTTTTCAGCCTTTCTTCACAGGAGAGGTGTTCCAGCCCTCTGCTCATCATCATGATCCTCCTCTAGACCCAATCCAACAGCGCTCCCTGTACCAAGGACTCCAGAGCTAGACACAGTACTCCAGGTGGGGTCTCAGCAAAGCAGAGTAGAGGGGAAGAGTGATCTCCCTTGACCTGCTGGCCACACTTTTGATGCAGCCCAGGGTGTGACTGGCCTTCTGGGCTGTGAGTGCACATTGCTGGCTCATGTCCAGCTTTTCATCCACCAGTGCCCCCAAGTCCCTCTCCGCAAGGATGCTCTCAATCGACTTCTCTTACAGTGGGAGGGACTTTGGCCCCTTGGTTGCTGTCTTGTGACCCATCAGCTCAGGAGATGTGAGAAGAGAGGGGGCCAGTGAAGACCAAGGCAAAAAAGTTGAGTTCCTCAGCCTTCTCATTGCTGGCTCATGTCCAGCTTTTCATCCACCAGTGCCCCCAAGTCCCTCTCCGCAAGGATGCTCTCAATCGACTTCTCTTACAGTGGGAGGGACTTTGGCCCCTTGGTTGCTGTCTTGTGACCCATCAGCTCAGGAGATGTGAGAAGAGAGGGGGCCAGTGAAGACCAAGGCAAAAAAGTTGAGTTCCTCAGCCTTCTCCTCATCTGTTGCTGGCAGTTTGCCAGTCCTGCTCATCAAGGGGTGGGTAAGCTTTCCTTGACCTTCCTTTTCTGGCTGACATACCTGTAGCAGCCCTTCTTAATACCCTTTGTATCCCTTGCCAAGTTCAGCTCCAGCCACGTCTTGGCCTGCCTGACCCCATCCCTGCACACAGTCAGTGTCCCTGTACTCCTCCCAGGATACCTGTCCCTGCTTCCGCTGCCTGTGCAGTTCCTGCTTGCCCTTTACTTTGATCAGAATGTCTCAACTTGGCCACTTGCCTTTGTTGTCTGATTTCTTACACCTGGAGCTCTTGCACTCTATGGAAACATCCTTAAAGGTGTGCCAGCTCTGTTCTGCATTTTTTATCCCTGAGGGGACTTTCTCAGTGCTCCTACTGACTAATTCCTTGAAGAAGTGGAATTCTGCTTTCCTAACATTCAGGGTCTTGACTTTACTCTGCTTGACCCACATCCCTCAGGACTGTGAACTCCACTAGCTCAGGATCACTGCAGCCCAGACCACCTCCAATCTTGACACCATCACTTGCACTGGTGACCATCAGATCCATTATGGCATCCCTTCTGGTAGGGCTGTCTATTATCTGGCTTAAGAAGTTATTCTCCACGCATTCCAGGAGTCTCCTGGATTGCCTAGAGCTTGCTATGCTGTATTTCCAGCAGATGTCAGGGTGGTTGAAGTCCCCCAGGAGGACAAAAGCCTGCGTGCAGGAAGCCACCTGTAGTTGAAGTACCAAAGTTTCATCAATAGGTTCCCCTCGATTCCACAGCCTGTAGCAGACACCAACCACAAGATTCCCTTTGTTGCCTCAGTCTCTAACTCTTACTCACAAGCTTTTGACCTGCTTGTGGCTACTCTTCAGAGACAGCTCTTCATACCCTATCCTTTTCTTGACACAGAGGGCAATTCCTCTGCCCCTCCTTCCTCACCTGTCCCTTCTGAATAGCCTGTAGCCATCAACAGCTGCACTCCGGTCATGGTATCCATCCCACCGAGTGTCAGTAACAACCACAGCATAGCTTTCTAGCAATATGCTGGCTTCTAACTCCTCCTGTTTGTTGCCCATGATGTGTGCATTGATGTAGAGGTACTGAAGCTGGGCTCTCAGCCATGTCACTCTTTTAGAGGAACTCCCCTTAAATCCTTTGAGGTATTTCACCAATGTTTCCCTGTTGGCTCCGGTTATCTCATATATATATACACACACACACATATTCCCCTCAATACAAGACAAAGTGACAACTAAGATAAAAGAAAAAAGAATCCCACAAAACTGCTGTTCCTCTACTGTTAAAAGTAGTTTAAAATTTCTGGATAGGACTAGGTAGAGCAAACTGGAAATGTGAAGATTAAGGGGACAGATACACAAACTTTCAGGGCCCAGACAGAAGCAGGTGCATACAGAAAAGTTACAATCAAGACTCTTAATCCTTCTCATGCTACTATAACTGAAGCTGTAAGACTGAGAAGTGACAGGATCTGACTTGTCATTTCCCTGATGCCAAGATAATTATTTTGCTGTTATAATTAGGCTTAGCTTTTGGTTGAAGTAGATAGCACTAGTAACTTTAATAATGTCCAGAAAAAGTGACACTACATACCTGAACACCTTTTAGTTGAATGTAGTCAAATATAAACCATGCCAAGCAGTGACACATGAAAAATACCATTATATCCCATTTAAATACATGATGAGCCGCCCATCCAATAACTAGACTGGCAACAAAGCACTCGGAGATTGGCTCACAAATTATTGTGGCAGGCAACATATTAATTCGCAGTTTGGCCCATCTAGAAAAGAAAAACAAATTAGGTCTGACTGTGCATTATTCTTTACATCCTCCTATCCCCCCTCAAATGATGCGCCATCATGGTCTTTTCTGACAAAGTCTGTTTAATCTCATTTAATTTACACCTCCAAATAAAATAGGGCAAAGATTCTCCCTTTCAAAGATCCTACATCTAGCATTTAAAAGGTACTAAAGCTTTGTGGTTTTTTTTAGGTTGTTGCGTTTGTTTGTTTGTTTTAATACTTAAATCACTCACACACGCTTCTGGGGAAAGCCAGTGCACCTCTCCCAGTATTGAAAGAAGCATGCATCAAGCTGTGAATTGAACTTCAGCACTCTGGACACTAGATCAAATTAGCTTGAAAAGTGCATACTCTTTCATACTGCATCACAAGCAGGTGACATGGGTGTGTGGGAGAGGAAGCAAAGATTAAAATTTTACCTGATCATTCTGGACTGAAACTGAGAAATAGAGTATGAACCGGAGTTTTGCATTGCAACTTGTGTGGCCATGGCGAACTTCCAACCCCTGAAAGATTAATTTGTTATTATAAAAACCATGCAAAAAAAACCCCAATATACAGAACAAACACCCAAGAATTTTATTAGGCTTGAAAAGTTTCTTTGATGTGTCATATTATTACAATTGGTATAAGCAAAAAAATAAAGTGTATTTTACCAGGTATCTTCATTGAAAAAGAGCAAATACCACTTGAAAAGTAATTAAACCAAGTTCTCAGAGACTTTTTTTCTGAAGGAATTGAAAATTATATAGCTTGATTACTTCTAGAAGTCTATATTGATAAGACAAAGGACACATCATAAGTATATTTGCTGTATACATGTGCAGCTGACCTGAACAGTTACAGTATGTACCATGTGGTTAAAAAAAACAAGCAAGATTTAAACAGTACTTGAAACAACACGCCCAGTTCATGCTCATCTTACCGGTCAGCAATAGCTTTGGCCATAAAGTAATCCTCAGCAATATACTGTGCAAAAGCTATCAGCCCTCCAGCTTGGTCCAAGACATCCTTCCTCATCAAGCAGGACATTCCTGTCACACACTTAAAGCCAGTTAAGTTGGCTGAGATATATGACCTTGGATGTGAAGTTCCAAAATAAACCTGCCAAACCAAGAAAAGGCTTTTAAAAATATGTATTTATGAAAGTACTACTCACTGACAACTTTTTCCTCAAAAAATGTGGCATAGGGAAGAAGTGCTAGACATGGCCAGTTATGACAGTATATTTGGGAAGTTCTCTACCACCCATCTAAAATCTAGTTTACCATCAGATCTGAGAAATCTAGTAGTAGCATCAGCTGTGTTTTTATAAATCTGTAAGCAGGTTTTAAATCCACTTATTAACTAGTTTGAAGCACGTGACTGCAGCTGAAGTTAAACATTTCTTCACTCAAAATGTGCAAGAGGCACTATCTAAATTTTCGCCAGTGAGGTCTTAAAAAGAACCAAAAAAACAACAATAAACCAACATTGCACTCACCTGTTCAAGAGTAGCAGCAAACCCCTGCCTGTCTGCAACATAGGGAAGCCCATGGACCAAGCCTACTTTTTCAGTCATTTGATTGGCCATATCTGTCAGTGTGTCTGGCGTTACTACGTGACAAAAAAAAAAAAAAAAGACAATTCCTTGAGCAATTTTGTCATTAGCAGACTACTGTAGAGAAATCATTCTCACTCTGTTACCAATATCAAGAGCACATATACTTCAAAGCACAGTATTTTGGAGGAACAAAGATTCAGAGAAATAAATGGTTAACTTTATTATGACCAACAACAAATACAATGGAAAGTTTGAACACTTTTTTTTTATAATGGTATTTTCATCTTAATAAGGGATTAAAGATTTTTATGCCATGAAAGTACCTCCAGATTTTTAACTTTCATTTCTACTTGCATTCTCAGTCAAAACAAAGTGCAAAAACTGCTTGCCTACAGGCAATAAGAGCAATGTGACAGTCAGCAGATTGCAGCACACACCCACCTCTGATTCCACTATCACAAATCCATATGAGATCATATTTGGCAACTTCATAGCCAGGCATTAAGTTGTTAATCTTGGGGTTGATGCCAACTTTCTTGCCACCTAAAAGAACCAATCATCATACACAAATGATGTATAGGATTTTTTTTAGAATTCAAATTCAATACCCGAACTATTTATATATACTGAAGAACAGTAAATGTTTACTCATCAACTTTTACAGTTCACTTTTATACAAAGCATTAAAATTTCAATATTCTGTCACTTCTACATTTTAGGTCTTATGACAATTACACAGAGAATGAAAAAGGAAAAAGTAATCAAATGCTTCTTCAAAATTGCAGGGTAATAAGGTTAATGCAGTTCAAAGGGCAGTAGAACTGCAAGGCATATTACTATGTTTTTGTAAGAAATATTATCTGCCTTTTATTAAGACTACTGGTTATGAATGTTAGACTCTACAATAGTTTTACAAAAAAAAGAAAAAGGAGCAGAATAGTGAGACATGCTCTTTTGCTTCCAATTGACAGACATTGTCCAGTTTCATGTCAAAAAAAGACATTCTACTACCTAATTCTAATATCCCTTCCCCCGTCTGATTCAAATGCAAGGTGAAGAAAGAGCCCTACAATCCAAGCTCAAGAAAAGGGACTGTTGCAGGACCTCAATCTCAACTATAGCCACAACTCCAAGTCACTTCCTTCACATTTAGTTCAGTGAAAAGACAGGACTTAAACTGCTCTTTCACATTTAGAAGGAAAGTTGGAGGGGTTGTATAAATCATGCTTCCTAGAGGTTTTCTGGGTTGATGTCACAGATTGTGACTACAGACTTACTTCTTTACCCTGAACAGATGACTAAGCTACAGAACCAACATGGGCTGAACGTGACGACTATTTTTGGATACTGTATATGGAGCTGAAGATCCAAAAACATTATGCAAGTAAGAGTCTCACCTTTGAGTTCCACTGCTTACCTATGAATAATCTGGCATCAACATTAGGGTATTTGCCAAGGAGCTTTTTGCACACATCAATAGCTGGATCATCATGATCTTGTACACAGAGTAGTACTTCATACTAGTAAGAACAAAAATGTATACACACATATATATTTACACACACTTAATATCAACATAATCTAGGGAATAAAGCCTAACAGAGTACCACACTGAAAAAATAGAACACTGTTACAGAAATAAAAAGAAAACCAAAGGGGTTATGTTGCACCTAAATGAGACTATTTTTTAACGTACAAGACAGTCAGTGTGAAAAAAGATCCAAGTCTGTACCCCAATAAACTCCCATACTGAGGAACATTAGTTTTCCTGTTACCAGAAGGACTTTTATTAGGTATGAAGCAAGACATCCTGGTATACAAGAGAATTTTTACATTTTTTGAATAAAATTCTTCTGTTTTGCTAACGTATAAATCTTAAATTCAGTCTTAGAGCACACAAAAAATTGAAGTAATCATGTTATGATACACTTGACTGCACACCTCTGAACTACACCTTCCTTTTCTTTGTAGATGCATACACAGAAGAGAGTTGGAGGACAACCTAGAGAGACCAGTATATATACACTTAATTGTATAATAAAGCTAAGATCAAGATTATGGATATGCATATAATATGTCTTTTCCTAACTCATAAAATAACGTTAAAAAAATCTACAAGAGGTAAGGGAAGACTGCAGCTGTTTCAGAATCAAGCAACACGATTGTTAAACAGGAGCTGCTGACGATGGGGAAATAGCATCTTAAGAATCACTCAACATTCTGAGACAGCTTTGCAAGCTTTGATGGAGGTATTTTCTGTTTCTGCATTAACAGCAATTACTTGAATATTTCTTACTTGATATCATTCCTCTCTCCCTGTTAAAATTACTTAACTATTTTAAGTTATTAGAGCTCAAACCCAAAGACTAAAATTCAGAAAGTGCAAATTTCTGCTCAAGGTACCTAGAAGTAATTTTTAAAGTCCAAGATTTAAAGATTCACTCATTAAAAACAAGTTTCTTGGACCTCTGATACAGCAGTTGTAAATAAGGGCCCCAACTACTCAAAACAGTTCTTATTCTCCCTTACACTATACTATCACCTCAATGCACTTTATTTTCAGTAAAACCGAGCAGTGAAGGAGGCAGCACGCATTTACAGATTTCTCCTTTAAGTTGTAAGCTCCTTAGAGCAAGGACATCATCTGACTGACTTATCACTTGTACTACACAGTCGAGCAGTGTTGAACAGGGGATGCATGCTTTTGTTAACTACTTGTTTCCTAACACTTTTAAGTTGCTTGGAGACTATCCTACCTAGCAACAACTGGTGAGGTATCATAGAATCATAGGGGTTGG